ATTATTTTTTTACTTTTAATAATTGATATTTATTTATTTTTTATCATTTTTATTAAAAATAATTATTTTTATCTAAAAAATCATAATAAATCTTAATCATTAAAAATAAAGGAATAAATAGTTGTGATTTTATGTAAATATAGTTATAACAGTGGTATGTAACTAAATTCCTACTTATATGAATTCTTACTTATGTAATAAGTAAAAATAATAATTATTTTTAATAAATATAATAAAAAATTAATAAAAATAATGCATATCAACGCAGATAGATGTACATTTCTAGGATTCATGGCATTAAACTAAACATTTTTTGGTGAACCGGGCCTTAGGCCCACTGGTTCGCTCCCAAGCCTTGGGGCTTAGGTGAGGCGATGGTCGGGGCTTAGGTGAGGCGATGGTCAGGGCTTCGAGTTCTACCACCGTCGTGAACTCCACCAAAAAGTAGTTTAATGGTTACGCGCCTCATTTGAGGGGGTGGAATGTTCACCAATCTGGGAATCTCAATTACTAATAACTAAATTATTAACTCCTTAACCATTACCCTTGTCAAATAAAAAAAAAAAAAACTAAACATTTTTCATTTTGAAAAGAGGTGCACATCTGTTTCTAGTGCACTTTTACACAGTACACAAGTGTCCTCAATTGTATGTTTTTGCCGAGCATTTGGGTTAAAAAAATATAAAATTAAATCAATTAAATAAAATTTTATATCTTTACATAATTATAAAATTGATACTACTGGAATTGTTAAAAAATGCCCAAATACAACAACCTCTGAGGCCCAAGGGAAATCGGTAAATTAATCATTTATTGCTGCTATGCCATAATTCATATTTGGTCTGGATCTAGTGTTTTAAATGGTGGAATGTTACGTATGTCACGCATAGTGATTGTTAGGAAGTCTTCAAACAGCATGCATGGGCAATAAGGAATCATAAAGGCTGGAGAATTGTTTGGTACGAAGAAGTATGGTCCTTATAGCTTGCGAGGAATCAGGCGGTCCTTAATGGAAAACAGATGGATGCTGATGCTGTATTTGAGCTGATTCAAAGCCGTTCTTACTGTTGGATCAGAGGCATTAAAGATTGCTGGCCGTACTCTTATTCGAGTGGTGTTCAAATTCCAGAAGGTGCAAGATAATCAAAAATCATTAATCATCATGAATTCTTGTTCTTGTTTCACTTGGTTTTGTATGTGCACAACAGTACCCTTTATACCCTATCAATAAAAGTCTTCACCATTTGCCTTTCAAAAAAACAAAAAAAAAAAAAAAAAAGAAGGAAAAATGGGTAAAAAAATTTAGCCTTCTTTAATTACTCCATCTAAAGATTTTAGTTGGACAATTAGTTTAGAAATACGAAAATGAAAGTCTATTACGTTTTAAAGCAAACCAAAAGGGAGTGCATTTTTTTGTGTTTTTATCCAAAAATTTATGCCCAATTAGAGTTGAGTTGCACAAATTATTCTCCAATATTATTATGTCCCTGTCCGCAGATTGCTGCGGGTGGTGGTTCTACTTCTACCGGATAAGCTCCTCACTCCTACACCCCTTATCATTTGCGTGATTTCTTCGACCGTTTCCTCTAATTTCACTTCTACATGAACCGTTGTTCCCCTTTCCCTTTAAAACAAACAGTATGATAAGTAATTATATTAATTAGGGCATGCAACAGGGCTGCTTTTATTTTATTTTATTTTAGATTGTACAGTAAAAATAATTCTATCTTATTTTATCTGTATATTGTATAATTCAAAATTAAGTCTTTTTATTTTCAAATGAAAAAAGATTGTTACTAAGTTTTTTAATTCACCAGTTGCGATCTATTTCTTTGTATATATAAAAATAGTGTACATTAGTTTCATCTTCATGGTATTTCAATTCAAAATTATCATGCTCCAATAAATACTTTAAAAATTATTGGATCAAATGCTTTACTTATATACTTGGTTTTTCTCAAAATAACCGTTATTTTTTACTTTTTTATTTTTAAATTAAGAATTTGAAGATAATTTATGTATTTATTTATATTATCTTGAGGAAAAAGCTATAAGATAAAGTTAGATTTTCTGTGATAGAATAATTAATCAAAATAAATACATATGATAGGGTTAAATTAGGAAAAAATATTTATCTACCTTAGTATATATATATATAAGACAATTAATTTGGAACAAATTCAAAATAAAAAATGACAATTATTTTGGGAAATAGAGAGAAGATTATACATACCAATTTTCAAGTAAATCAAACATTTATAATCATTTGATCAAAAAGTTATCTTTTATAATATATATTTAACAATATCAAATTTTATATGATCAATGAACTAATTAAATATATTTTATCAATCTAAAAATTGTCATGCATGATTTATATGAATAAAATATTAAATTTAATAATTAACCTTTTAAAATATTCATTGGATCATGGTGTTTTTGAATTAGGACTACATGGGCCTCTTTCATATAGCTATTTGGAGGTAGTGTTTAGTGATTTTGTCCATATTGCAATAGGGTAAGTGTTCAATAAATCTATTTATTTCAAAACTATAAGAAAATAGGTGTTTGGTAAAAATTTTTTGTTAAAGTTTGAGATTAGCATATAGAGATTAGAGTTCAAACCTCTAGTCTATTAAAAAAGCTTCCTCAAGTAATTTTTTTGTATCAAATCACTAGAAAATTGAAAATTTTTAATTTTCTTGACCCATTTAAATTTTTAAGTTTTTTTACCATAGTCTTTAATTACCACTTATCTAATTACTTTTAACTTTGTTTTTTTCTCTTTAATAACATCAAGTAATTATTATATTTTTTTTTACATTAACTTATGACCAAAAAATTTTATATTAACCTAAAAATCAAAATTTTATAATTAGACTAAATAATTAAAAATTTATTGTTCATTATTTAAAAATAATAAAATTTTTTATTTATTGAAAATATAAATGAGTATATGATTCATATTTTTATATTTATTTATCAAAAGAATACTCATTCACCTCATCTGTAAAAAATTAGGAGAAAAATTACTTCAAAACTATGTGATTTCAATAAACTCCTATTAAAAAAACTAAAAAACCTCATTTTTAAAATAAGAATTAGATTATTTTTTATTTTTTCTCATAATACTTTACTATAA